CCCCCCAACACACACACTCTTACCTACCCACTCCCCACCTCTCATACCTACCTAAACACCTACTCCCTCCTATGGCGTAGCAAATAATTTTTCGGAGTGTATGCTTACCGAGAGTCGAGCGTCCGAGGCGCATAGCGACGGAGAAGGTGGAGGGTACTGGAGGGGGAGTTCCCCCTACCATAGCTGGAAAAAAATCAACTAGTTCATAGAAGCAATCTCCCGTGTTCTAGATCTGATTATTAACAAGTAAAGCCCGACTTTAAAAATTGTATACTTCACTTAGTAGATTTTTTGTTTACATCAACGTTCAAGTCAATGTGTATGGACATAACAAACATTTTTTAAGAAGACTTTTTGTTAATAACTCTTTTTTTTATTGATTTGGACTGTTCAATCATAGAAAAGTGAACTCAATACAAATATTTGATAAAAAAAAGTGTTCCTGAAAATGTCATTGTTACGCCATTGCACTCTCAGATACCTATATTCTCACACAGACCTCTCTCACTCTCACACACACTTACTGTCTCTAACTCACACACTTACTCTCTCTCTCTCACCCACCCACCCCTCTCAATCACTCACACCTACCTTCTCACTCTCATACACATCTTTCATCTCATTCTCTCCCACGCACATTCTCACTCTCTCACATCCTTCTTCTCACTCTCATGCACATTCTCACTGTCTCTCACTCTCATACACTTCTCACATCTTTCTTCTCACTGTCTCACATCCTTCTTCTCACTGTCATACACCTTCTCACACACAGCTTCTAACTCACACCTACCTTCTCACTCTCATACATTTCTCACACCCACTCACATATTTCTTCTTCTCTCACACCCACCGTCTCTCACACAACTACACACTCTCTCAATCTTTCTCACACACAATCTCTTCTATATGCATAGTATACCTACAATCAGAAAACAGCCCTCATAAGCAAGTAGTATCCAACCCAAAGTGGGTTCCTCCAATATCAGAATACAACTGCCGATGCAGAAGCAGTATCCGATAAGAGGGCTCAAACATGTAAATGAAAGTGTTCATACACGTAACAATCTACAGTCGCTCCACGAGACATGCTTCATTAAAGGCCATTCAGGGGTTAGGGGAGCTTTGATTACACATCAGCAAATAGTTGATCACTTCTGTGTTTAAAACAGTGACAGTAACACGATGAAAACGTACAGTATTTATATCAAATAAAATCGATCTATGCAGGTGTACATTTTTTTTCAATATTAATCNATCAGGGGTTAGGGGAGCTTTGATTAAACATCAGCAAATAGTTGATCACTTCTGTGTTTAAAACAGTGACAGTAACACGATGAAAACGTACAGTATTTATATCAAATAAAATCGATCTATGCAGGTGTACATTTTTTTTCAATATTAATCATCATATTACAACCTTATTTTTACTATCAATCAATTTAAGGAGAAACATTTCGGCGCATTTAGAACAATTACATTTTAATTATGTTTTAAATGGTGAAATAAAACATCAAAATTTGATAAATTTAAGTTTATCTCAAGGTGAGTAAGATGGTAGGTAACTCTACGTTTGTTTTATTCTCTATCAGGTAGACCAGTAACAGTAATCCCTCCCAGGAGTACCGCTACTTATCCCTGCAATTAGCGCTACACGTACTGAT